TCCTCTCAGAAATCAATAAAAATATATTAAAGAACAACAACAACAACCATCACAAACTATTCACTGAGTGAATAGGCCCAGGAGCAAGGTAGTTTTGGGAAGGGTCTCATGCTCTTAGGTACTTTTAAAGGATCCCGTACATTGTCTCAGTCCTGTTTTCCTTGAATTCCGCTTGCATGGGATGATTGTTTAGCCTTAAAAATGTTGGTCCTTTGGTCATCACCTTTGATCTTTCTTTTTTTGTGGGACTCAGACTACACAGAAAACTGAGGGGATTCTTAATATGGATATTTCTGAATACATATTTTTGATGCAACTTAAATAGGCCACAGCTATGTTGGTATATTGCCTGCAAAGCTCTCAAATGTATGGTATGGTTAAACATCCTAAAAATTATATAGAGTAAAATCTGCACTTTCTGTTGCAAAGAAGACAAATTCTAGTGGATTGAAGAGAGAGGGGCTCTTAAGAAGGTGAGAAGGTACAAGAGCAGCGATTTTCAACCTTTTTCACCTCATGGCACACAAACTAATTACTAAAATCCCGTGGCACACCCAAAGTATATATTTTCTGCATATGACAAAAAAAAAAATAGGTATACTTTTGATTCATGCACACTGGATGGCTATTGTTTTGTTGGCTGTTGTCATTTTTTATTTTGACAATCTAAGGAAATCGAGGTCAGTGCTCCTGACTAAATAGGCAGGTATTGCGTGTTTTAAAAATTATTGTGGCATGCAGGTTGAAAATCACCCCTGGTTTCTGGCTAAAGAGTGCCTAAAACCCTTGTAACTACCTGAATGCTTGTGTGAAAGGCACAGCTCTTGTTATTCACAAGCTCCTCTCAACCACACCTTAGTGCAGGCTGATGCGGTGCATGGGCTCTCAGATAGCTTCCGGATGGGGGCTGGTTGCCAGAGGAACCAACCAGGTGATTAGAAGTCTAGAACTTTCCACGCCAGCCCCCTCATCTTTGAGGTGAGGAGTAGGGCTGGGGATTGAGTTCATCACCAATAGCCAATGATTTGATAGATTATGCCTCTATAAAAACAGGACATGCAGGGGTTCCGTCTTCAGAGACGGTGAATGCATCCACGTGGCAGGAGGGTGGCACATCCCAAACTCCAGAGGGACAGAAGCTCCTGCACGTGGGACCCTGTGGGCCTCGCCTTTGTACCTCTTCTTTACCTGGCAGGTCATTTGTAACCTTTATAATAGCAAGTAAAGTGTTTCCTTGGATTCTGTGAGCCATGATAGCAAGTTATCAAAGCTGAAGGGGGGATCAGGGGAACCCCAATTTGTAGCCAAGTCAGAAAAAAATAAGTGTAGGCAGTCTAGAAACTCACTATTTGCCACAAGTGTCTGAAGTAGGGGGCAGACTGTGGCACTGAGCTCTGAATCTGTGAGCTCTGCACTAACTCCAGGCAGTGTCACAGATGAATTAAAATGGGAAGACACACAGTTGGTCTTACAGGGAACTGGATTATTGCTTGGCGTGGCATAGCCACATGTTTGGTGTCATGAGTATTGTAAGCAGAGAAGGTATTCCTTTGCGTGGTCATTGAAATCTGTGCATATCAGAACCGCACTAAGTGAGACTGCTAGATAACATTCCTTAAAAGAGCTTTTCTTAAACTACCCCACAGGAGTTAAGATTATCCAATAAGCCGAAATTGGTTTGGCTCAGTGGTAGAGCGTCGGTCTGTGGACTGAAAGGTCCCGGGTTTGATTCCAGTCAAGGGCATGTACATTGGCTGCGGGCACATCCCCAGTGGGGGATGTGCAGGAGGCGGCTGGTCAATGTTTCTCTTTCATCGATGTTTCTGGCTCTCTATCTCTCTCCCTTCCTCTCTGTAAAAAAAAATCAATAAAATATATTAAAAAAAAGATTATTGCCAAGACTGGTTTGGCTCAATGGATAGAGCGTCGGCTTGGGGACTGAAGGGACTCGGGTTCGATTCTGGTCAAGGGCATGTACCTTGGTTGCGGGCATATCCCCAGTAGGGGGTGTGCAAGAGGCAGCTGATCGATGACTCTCTCTTATCGATGTTTCTAGCTCTCTATCTCTCTCCCTTCCTCTCCGTACAAAATCAATAAAATATATTTTAAAAATAAATAAATAAAAAATAAAATAAAAATAAAAAAAGATTATCCAATAAGACTGGGAGATTCTGGGCTGAGATCAAATCACTTTATGTACAAGGGTATGGAATTCAGAGTACAGGGGTTAAATATGATGCACTCTGACTCTATTTTTAAAAAATCTTTATTGTTGAGAGTATTAGAGACGTCCCTCTTTTCTCCCCATTGCCACGCTCCACCTGGTTCCTGCCCCACCCCAGGCCTTCACCACCCTACTGTGTCCATAGGTAAGATCTTTGGTTAATCTTTTCCTACTCCCTTCCCTCCCTTCCCTCTGAGTCTCATCATCTGCTCCATGTTTCCATGCCTCGGATTCTATTTTATTCACCAGTTTATTGTGTTCATTAGATTTCTTGTTCGTTTACTTTGACTTTTAGATTCAATGGTTGATAGATATGTATTTGTTGCCATTTTATCTCCCTCCCCCTCCTCTCTCCTTCTCTTCCTCCTCCCCTCTAAAGAATACCCTTCATCATGTAATACTGGTTTGGTGGTGATGAACTTCTTTAGCTTTTTCTTGCTTCCTGCCTCTATTTTAACAGTAGGGAAGAACAAATAGAATGGGTGAGTACATATGTAGGTATTATATTATTGTTAAACAAAGGGAATTTTTTTGTGTGTGTATGTTCCTTATCTTTCTTTGAAGTAGGAAACAAGGAATTCTGCTTAAAGTGATGGGGTAAGGGTTAGAGAAGTTTGCTCTCTTCTGTTGACCTGGTCACTCACTCTTAACTACCTTCCCTTTCAGGCTTGGTCCCTCCCAACTGCCCTCCCCTGCTGGCCATCTTGTGGCAGCCATCTTGTGACCACACAGGGACTGCCATCTTGTGTGTTGGAATGATGGTCAGTTTGCATATTACCTCTTTATTATACTATATAGGATCATCTACATTTCAGGGACATGTCCTAAATTCAAAGTTTTCTAGGCAAGGCCCTGAATATGTGATACTAACAATTCTTAGTTTATTACATTCATATAAAAGGACAGTGATTTCAGCAAATATATTTTTTTTAGAGAAAAAGCATTATTTTACTAGATGAAATAGGCCGTTGCTCTATCTACTGAGCCAAACCGGCTAGGGCCCGGCAATCTGTTTTGACAAGCCTTCCCAGGCGATTTTGCCATAGGTTATAAAGTTTAAGAACCATTGGTTTGATCCACGCTTCCCCTTAAAGCTTGGAATTACGGGGTTCCACGGAGATGAGGTGAAACTAACAAGCAAAGCCATGGCTTTGTCTGAAAGATACTACTTTACATTGCTTAAAGAAATACATCTTTTCTAGAACTCCACCTTGTTTCATGCGTGTTAGCTTTCTATGGCTGCAGAAACAAATTGGTAACTTAGCAACTGAACAGAAATTATGTTAACAGTTCCGCAAGGTCAGAAGAGCATCTGCGTCCTGGGCCGCATCACCACAGCGGCTGCCTTATGCAGGGAACCCGTTCCCTTGCCTCATGGAGGACGTCTCTCCATTTGTTATATTTTCCCGATTTCCGTTATCGATCATGTCTTATTGTCATAAATAAGAAAAAATAAAAAAGAAACACGACCATGACGTGGTCATCCGCCGTTCCCCGGGGGCTTGGAGCCGGGGACAGCAGACAGGGGCCTCCGTTAATCTGTGCGGCCCCGCCGCCCGCCCGGCGCCCTGCGGACTCTCCCCGAATGAATTAACCTGGAAGCGTCTCTGGACTTGAGTGGAGGCCGCCCATCGCTTCCTACACTCGGGCTTGCGGGGCCTCCCGCGCCCTTCCCCGGGGAGGTAGGTAGGTGGTCGCGGGCCACAGGCCCAGGCCTCCTCGTGGAGTGAACGTCCCTCGTGTCATGGGCGGGGGCGGTGCCCCGCAGCCTCGCTCCCCGCGGCCTGTGCAGGGAAGGCGCTCCCGCACCGGCCTGCCGCGGGGCCAAACCCGGCCGGGCCGGGCCCGCGCCGCGAGGGCAGCCCCACGGGGAGCGGCGCTGGGCTCCACCGGGCCGGGCTGCAGGGGGAGCGGCGGCGGGCGGGGGCGGGGGCGGGGGCGGGCGCGGACCCGGGAGTGGCGGGTGCGAGCGGAGCGGGCAGGGGCAGGCGGGGGCGGAACCGGACGCCGGAGCGGCCCGGGCGGGAGCGACGGGCGGGGACGCCAACACGGGCGCGGCGGGGGCGGGCGCAGCGGGGGCGAAGGCGGGGGCGGGTGGGAGCGCGGAGGGGCGGACGCGGGCGCGGCGGGCGCGGGGCGGGCGGACTCCGGCGCCCGTGGGGGAGGAGCAGCGGCTGCGGCTGCTGTGGCGACGGCGGCTCGGCGTGGGCAGAGACCCGCCCCCTCCGCAGCGACAGCCGCAGCGGCCCGGCTGCTGCACTCGCGCCCGGGCGGGGTGGGCGGACGGTCTTAGCGGCGGCGGCGGCGGCGGCAGCTGCAGGAGGGACGCGGCGCGCCCGTGCGCCAGACCGTAGCGGAGGCCTCGCCGCCGAGCGCCCGGGCGGGTGCGGCCATTTTCGCGGCCCGCGCCGAGGGGCGGCGTGAGCGCGCCCGCCTCCCGCTCTCTTCCCGGGGGAGCTTCTCGGGCGGCGTGCGGGGCGGTGGATGGGGAGTCGCGGGCCGCGCGGAGCCGGGCCCGGGAAGCGCCGCCGCCGTCTTCGCCGCGCCCCATAGGCGCCTGAGGAGGAGCCCGGCGCGGCTAGGCCCGAGGCCCGCCTTTGTGTGAGGCCCGTCCGGCCGGAGCGCCCCCGCCTGCCGGCCCCGCGCAGCCCCCAGCCCGCAGCCCGCGGCGGTCCCTCTGCGGCCGGCCCCATCGCGGCGGCCTGCGGGCCGTGGACTAAGGCGGCGGCGGCGTGGGAGCAGGAAGATGGCGGCTGGCGGCAGCGGCGGCAGCTCCGGGGAGATCGCTTTTCTGGAAGGTACATCCATGGCTGCCCTTGCGGGGCTGGGGTGGGGGGATCCCGGAACCTATGGCCCCTGACCCCCCGGGTATTCGATGGTTCGCGCCGGGTGGGTTCGGGCGATGTGGGGGGGATGGGCTGCGGCCCGGTTCGAGGCCGCGGGTTCGAGAGTCTGGGCCGGGCCGGGCCGGGCCGGGCGGGGCGAGCGGGCGGGTGGAGGGGCTTCGAGCCCCCCCGAGCTGCACGCGTTTAAGTGTCACATTTTTTGGATTTTGGGGTTTTGGGGTGGAGGCCTAAAGGATGGGTGTGCGTGGAAGGCTCCCAATGGCCGCGGTGGTGCGAGATCGGGGTGCAGCCCGGGTGGGGAGGGGGCGGCCGTCCTCCTGCGGGTGTTTTCTGTCCTCCCTCCGCCTCTTTTTTTTTTTTTTTCGCGAAGCTTCCATCTTCCTTTTCGCAGTCCGCAGTCAGCTGAGGCCCGGCCTTCTGCGGCACTCTTACAAAATGCTAAAAATCTCTTGGATAAGGTAATTTATTTTAAAGAGAAAAGAAGGGAGATTCACAATCTCCATTTGGGGGGCAGTCGCCAAAGCTAAGGGACGCAGCTTGGCTGTTTCCCATGTTTGATGATCCGTTGGGAGGGAAAGGGAGACGTTTGCTGCGGGCGGATGGTCACCGGTCTGCAGCAGAGAAAATAACCGTTTGCTCGTTATTGTTGGGAATGGTGGCAATGGGGATCGGTATGTTGGCTCTTTGCCGTCCTAAGGGCCCCCCAAATGCAGCTAAACTCATTGTGGTCGTGGACAAAGAACGTTGCCTGCCTGGGTGATGGCTTCGGGGCTGATGCACTGGTCCCTGGGTGCACCCGGGGTGCGGGAAGATGGATGTATCTGCCTGTGGCAGGGATTGTTACAAAATTGGGTAATTTGGCAAGGTGATTTTCATATGCAATATAAGTAATTCTTTTTTTAAATTTTTTAAAAGCTAATTAGAAACGTTTCTAAATTAAGGACGTGCTTAACTGTGGCAACAACAGGTTCTTGAAGAGGGTGCTGAGGGACGGGGAAGCCTTGCTTATGGTTTTATTAACGAGGCCTGGGAACAGTGGTAGCTGCTCCACCTTCGTCTAATGAACGAGAAGGGCCTGAGAGATGTAGGTGGGAGAAGCGATCTTAATTTACGTAATCCTTCCAGGCGCGCATAGCAGAACAAAAGGAATCGTAACCTTGCTAGGAAGCCAGCATTTATCTGAAAGCGATGCGAATTTAATATGAAATTCTCAGTAAGAAGATGTGGAAAGGGTGCATTTTTTTCTGGATTCATTTAATATTATCTCCATTCTATCTCTATTTTGAGCAGAATAGGTGCCTGCTGGAGGCTGATAGCGATGCAGCTTGTGTTGCGTCATTTTTTTTGTTTGTTTCGGTATTGGTACCTCAAAAGATGTCTTACCGTTGCTTATTATATATTCTGTTAATGCAGATGATTGCACTTTTATGTTGTTAACTTTTAGGCTTCTATATGCTTTTGATTCAGTTTAAGTTTTGACTATATGAACATGGGGTAGAAAGCACAGATAGCCAGGCCGGTGTGGCTCAGTGGTTGAGCTGTTATCTATGAACCAGGAGGTCACAGTTCAATTCCCAGGCGTGGCTCGTGCTGGGGTTGCAAGCTTGATTCCCCCAGTGTGGGGCGTGCAAGAGGCAGCCGATCAGTGATTTCCCTCCCTCCCTTCCCAAATAAATTTTGTGTGTGTGTGTATGTATATATATGTATATATGTGTGTACACACACACACACACACATATATATATATATTTATGAAATATTACTGGGCAGATGTGAATTTCAAACTATTGCTTTTAGTTTATTCTAACTTAAAGGTCTATGAATGTCCAGGTGATAAATTTGATTGTAGTCATGTCTACTTCATTCTCATAAGGAAAGCAAATGGTTACTTGCTTAGAATATGAGCTTAAGGGAAAGCAAGGATTTCAGTTTCTTGTTGGATTTTCATATATTGTACTGCATTTTTTGAAATAAAAATAATATTCACGAATTGTATTTTTTAATTTAATTCTTTTGTTTTTTTACTCTTTTAATAAGAGAATATTCCACTATTAAGTTGCCATATATTTTGCATTCTTCACAGATCCTTAAGTTTTAATATTTAAACATCTACATAGTATACTTTTCTTACTCTCCAATAGACTTCTTGAAAAACTGATGTAGGTTTTCATTCACACATTAAATATTTGGAACCTATTCTGTGTTAGATACTGTACCAAGGTGACTGTAGCAGTGAGTATGATAACAACATACTCGTTAATGAAATAAAGAAGATAATATAATAAAGGCTATGAAAGAAATATACTTATAGAACAAGGAAAGAATGGTAAAGCCATTTTACGTAGTGTTAAAAATTCTGGAAAGAAAAAAAAATTTCTGGAAAGGCCTTCCTGAGGAGGTGACTACTTCAGAGGATGATGCGTGTACAGGTTCTGAGATAATATAATATATGGTTCCATTTGTTAAAAAGGTCATGAGTGAAATGCAAGCAGAGTGATGTGAAAGAGAAGCAGATCTATCATACAAGATAATAAATTTTTCATTTTGAGAAGTGGGAAGTTACTGAGTTTGGGGCTGAGGGATGCCATGATATAATTTAAATTTAAAAATCCCTGACTGCTCTGTGGAATGACTTATAGAAGAGCAAGAGTAAAAGCAGGAACATGCGTTAGAATATTATAGTAGTTCAGGGTTGGGATAGGATAGTGGCAGTGGAGATTGGGGAAAAGGAGTGGAGGGACTGAAGATACTTTTGGATGTAGAGCTAACAGAATTGTAATGGATTGTATATTGAGGGTCAGAGTAAGGGAGGAATTAAAGATGACTCCCAGTTGTTTTTTTTTAGATGTTGGGGGCTAATTTCATTTACTGATCTGGAGTAGACTGGTAGAGGACCTAGAAGTTAATAGCACTGCTTTGGTGAAAATGTGTTTGAAATGTCTTTATTCTAAATTATGTTTTACATTCTTATATCCACTAAGTAAATGCTGTTACCAACCATTTCTTTTTCTGGCTTCATTAAGGAAAAGGCGGCCTACTATCAACTGTTGTACATTATTTTGTACATGTAATATCCCATGAAAATTGTGTGACTTTAATTAGATCACAGCTTGTATTGAATTTTTTTCTTTCTCTTCTTTGACTTGATTCTTTCTGTACTATTCATTTAAGGTTGTCTTATCACCCCTTTTCAAATGTGATAGTTTGGCAGGTTTCTCTTTGTTCATTCATTTAACAGATATTTATTGAGCAACTCTAATGTTGTAGGTACTATGCTGAGAGGCACAATGGGTGGGGGTGAGGGTGAGAATGGTTTCTTCATGGAGTTTCTAGTCCAGAGAATAAAGTCAGTGGTCAAAAAATCACACTTATAAATGTAAAATTATAACAAGTGCAGCAAAAAAGGATTATTCATAATAATGAGAATTTGATCTAATCAGGGCAGTTGAAAAATAAAATGTAGGTAGACAGTGCTTTCCAGGCAAAGGGAATAAAATAGAAGGAGCATGGCATGTTTAGGAAACTAAAAGAAGGACAGTGGTGCTAGCAAGGAGAGTGGTACAAGATTGGAGGTGCCATTATTAGGTTTGTTTTAAAAAAGGTCATTGGTTACCTGGCTACCACATAGAGAAAGTTTTAGAGAGGAGCAAGAGATTATCAATGAGACTAGTTACGAAACTGTTGCAGTATAGGGCAGAAGTGATGTTAGCTTGTTCTTATATCCTTACTTTTGATATTTTCCCCTTCTCTCCTCTCTAGAACCTCTTAACAAGTTTACTTCCTCTCACATTTGTTTCTTTTTTATGTTGCACTTATTCATATATAGTTTGCTTTCCCTTTTCCTTTTTTACTAAATAATTGCTCAGCAATATTTTCTTCCATTTTTTCCCCCCTGCTTTCCCTTTTATTCATATACTAGAGGCCTGGTGCATGTGTGCATGGGTGGGGATGTGTGTCCCCTTAGTCCAGTCTGCACTCTCTCTAATCCAGAATCTCTCTCATAATTCTGGACCACTGGCTCCTAATCACTCACCTGCCTGCCTGCCTGGTCGCCTCTAACTGCCCCCAACTCTGCTCCTACCCCCACTGACCTGGTCGCCCATAAATGCCCCCACACCACCACCACCAACCTGGTCACCTCTAACTGCCAGCCTGGTTATCCCCAACTGCCTCCCCTGTCCGCCTGGTGGCCCCTCACAGCCTTCCCTGCCAGCCTGGTTGCCACATGCAGCCTGCTTGTTCAGTCATTTGGTCATCCCTCACTAACCCCTCTGCTGACCTGGTTGTAGGCAGCCATCTTGTGAGAGCGTGAGGGTTAATTTGTATGTTACTTCTTTATTATTTAGGACTAGAAGCTCCATGCATGAAATTCGTGCAAGGGCTGCCTCGTGGGCCTGCGGCCCCATCCACTGGTCATTCCAGAGGTTATTCTGCTGGCTGGTCTAATTAGCATATTAGCTCTTTATTATATAGGATACACACACCCACACCTCTTTGTTTTACTATTTATTCTGGGCCCATCTTCCTTTGTGGACTTGGCTCAGTAGGGCAATTTGCTGTATTGCCCTCTATACCAGCAAAATTGCCTTTATCTCCAAATGAGGAGTGTCTTCCATTTCCGCTAAGCCATACTTAGCCATACTTAATTGGTTATAAATACATATAATTGTAATTTAACTCTCATTAGTTTGTCACTTTTACTGGGGACAGAAAATACTTCACAGTACCTCTTAACTAAAGCACAATTTCTCCTAGATAATCCGTATTCCATGAATATGTGCAAAGTCTTTAGTTTCAGTCTGCCCAGGGGAACACACCACAAAGTTCTCCATTTAGCCCTGTTCATTTTTCTTTTGGTTGCACCACTTTAATTTTTAATTTATCCTTATTGTTAAAAGTATTACACATGTCCTTTTTCCCCATCAGTGACCCCCTCCGCTCTTCTCCCATCCACAAATTCTTTAGCTAATCTCTTCTTGAGCACTGTCCGCCCCCCCTTCCTGTCTTCTCTCTTAAATTAATCAGTCTGTTCCATGCTTCAGTGTCTCTGATTATACCATTTTTAAAAACTACATCATGGGAAACCAAGATGGCAGCGTAGGTGAGTATCTAATCTGCCACCTTGCACAACAATTTCAAAACTACAACTAAAAGACAAAATGGCTATCACCCAAAACCGCGATGAAAGCTGGCTGAATGAGAAAGGAGCACAAGCGCTGAAAAGCTGAAAAGTTAGGTGCGGAGGCACGCAAATTGAGCTGGTGGCGGGCGACTGGGTGTGCGGCTTTTTTTCAACCAGAAGGGAAACCAGCTCCTGATCACTTCGAAATCCAGTTTCTAGGGTCACACGGGGGACCCAGATGCTTACGGGGAAAAGCTGGTCTGTTGGAGGTCTGAAAGTGAGGGTGATTTTTTTGCAGAGGTGCGCTCAGCAATCATTGTTTACTGCACTAGAGCACGGGGACACAGGGACTTGGATACGCTGAAAGGCAGAGACTGCTGACGGCAGCCATCACTGTTTGCCACACCCCAGCCTAGTGACATCCGGAGACTCAGCCCCGCCCTGAGGCCTCGCCCAGGCTCAACACAGCTGCTTTTGCATAAGCAGTGAAAATGCCTAGAAAAAGAAGATCGCAAACAAAAGAAATTAAGAACAAAAGACTGGATATAGAGTTCAAAACCATGGTTATAAGGTTTTTCAATAATTTCCTAGAAAAGGCTGATAAATTAAACGAGACCCTTGAGGATATGAAAAAGAAATTAAACCAACTAGAAATTAAACATACACTGACTGAAATAAAAAATATTATACAGAGACCCAACAGCAGACTAGAAAAACACAAGAATCAAGTCAAAAGATTTGGAATATAAAGAGGCAAAGGACACTCATCCGGAGAAGCAGGAAGAAAAGAGAATCCAGGAAGTTGAAGATAGTGTAAGAAGCCTCTGGGACAACTTTAAGTGTACCAACATCAGAATTATGGGAGTGCCAGAAGAAGAGACAGAGCAAGACACTGAAAACCTATTTGAAGAAAGAATGACCGAAAACTTCCCCTACCAGGTGAAAGAAATACTTACAAATACCTATCTATCAACTTACAGGTGCACAGAACCCCAAACAAAAGGAATCAAAAGAGAACCACACCAAGACACATCATAATTAAAATGCCAAGAGCAAAAGATAGAGAATCTTATAAGCAGCAAGAGAAAAACAGCTAGTTACCTATAAGGGAGCACCCATACGACTATCAGCTGATTTCTCAACAGAAACCATGCAGGCCAGAAGTGAGTGGCAAGAAATATCCAAAGTGATGAATAGCGAGAACCTACAACCAAGATTATTGTATCCAGCAAAGTTATTCAGAATTGAAGGGCATATAAAGAGCTTCACAGATAAGAAAAAGCTAAAGGAGTACCTCACCACCAAACCAGTATTATATGAAATGCTAAAAGGTGTTCTTTAAAAAGAGGAAAAAGAAGTAAAAAGTAAAGATAAAAATTATGAACAACAAATACATATCTATCAAATCTAAAAGTCAAGTGAATTAAAAATCTGAGGAACAGAATAAACTGGTGAATATAATAGAATCAGGGCCATAGAATGGGAGGGGATTAATAATTCTCAGGGGGAAAGGGATGTCTTTGTGGGGGATATGGGAAGAGACTGGACAAAAATCATATGCCTATGGATGAGAACAACGGGGAGGAGGAGGAGGTAAGAGGGTGGAGTGGGGACCAGGTGGAGGGGAGCTGTAGGGGGGGAGAGAAACAATTGTAATAATATGAACAATAAAGATTTATTTTTTAAAAATTATGGGCTTTTTTGGGCCATCCTATCTAATAAAGAGGGAATATGCTATAAACCTCACACTATTGCAAAGATGTTGGCACACACAGCCAATAAGGGAATATGCTAATTAACTTTCCCACCTTCAAAATGACAGCACCCACAGCCAATAAGGAGGGGATATGCTAATTGACTGTCCTGTCCTCAAATATGACAGCCCCCACAGTCACAAGATGATGGTGGGCAGTCCCTTCAGTCCCCCAACTGCCCAGGTTCACCCAAGGCTCAGGTAAACAGGGCCAGCTGAGGCTTGTGCTGACGGCAGCAGAGGTGTGATGGGGGAGTCGCCTTCCCCTGATTCCCAGGTCGCTTCCCACCCCTAAGGGCTCTTGGACTGAGAGCGGGCATGTCTGCCCCCTAGAGTGCATGAATTTTCATGCCATAGGTCTCTAGTGTATGATATAAAACATTTGGTCCCAAACCTAAATAATTGTGAATTTATGGTTAGGAATTCTCTAATCATGGGAATATATACTTAGAATATATATATAGTTTATATAATTCAATCCAAAATTTCAGAGGCAAGGACAGGACATTATTATTATTATTATTATTCCCATTGTTGAATTCTTCAGTGAGTTTCTTTTATTCTAGTTCACTCAATCAGAGTGTTGCCCAGGTGTTCTGGTATTCAGTCTGACCCTTTACTTTGTTGTGTCCCCAAACTTTATGTATATGTTGATTTTAGATAGAGATGGAGGGAGGGAGAGAGACACATCCATGTGTGAGAAACACACACTTGCACACTCCCTGTTGCAGAATGAGCCTGAAATGTTGGCATGTGCTCTGACCCTAGGAATCAGATGGGACCTTTTGGTGCATCGGACCATGCTCAGTGACATGAACCACAACAGCCAGGGCTCTGGGGCCCTAAGCTGGGTTTTAAAAACCAGGCTCCAGGCCATCAGGATTTTGTCATGTGGCTTCAAATGACAACTTCAGAAGTTAATTTCTCCAGGTTCCCACTTACCAGTTTATGACTTCAACGCTTTCAGCCATGCACTTAAAATTTTTTTAAACTCATAATGAGCATGCTTGGTTTTCTGATAATGGAAGTTTTTTGAAGTGCTGCTCTCAATGCAAGTGCCATCATTAGGACTAAGACATAATGTTCTTATTGGACTAAGACATATTGCCAACACAAATCTTTTGTTTCTTTTCTGTTAAAAGGCAGAGATGGTAAAGGTAAGGAAAAGGTCAGTTAGTGGTCTAGATATGGTTCTCATAAATAAGGCAAGCAAACTAACAGGCACTGATTTCTAGAATCGGTGATCAATTATGGAGATACAGGGTTGATTTTTTAAAATATTTCATACATATTTGGGTGTGTGTGTGTGTGTATGTCTCCATTTTTATTGTATTTTACAAATTTGAGCTGCTTTTTCTAGCAGACTCACATATGGATGACATTAAAGTGTTCTTTCTCTCTTTATGGAAAATAAGGTGTTCATGAGCAGTAATCAAAGACATTCAAGTGAAAAGAAAATCTAGGCTAAAAGAGCTTGAGGAATACTCAATTTCATTTTATAGATAATAGCTCTATTAATGAATACTTATCTTTGTTTTTATTTCAGCTTTAACTAGATCAGAATCTAAGAGAGATGGAGGTTTTAAAAATAATTGGAGCTTTGATCATGGAGAAGAAAGTGAAGGAGATACAGATAAAGAGTAAGATTTTTTCCCCCTCAGATATTTTATAAGAATGAAACTTTTCATCAGAAAAGTAATATAAATTATTTTCTATGGAAATATTTTTAAGAGTATGGTATTCTTAAGGAATATTGACTCTTCTAATAGCATTAATGAAGAAAAAGCAGTTCTTTACTGGTAAATAATTTTGTGTTATATTTATCTTATAAATATAAAATAAGTGCATCCAACATTTATTACTTTATGATTAAATATAAATCAGACTACAGATTTCCAACTAAATAGTTCCTTAGTAAAAATAAATATGGAATTCTGTTCAGTGATTTGAAAAGCTACCATTTATCTTGAGTAAGTAAGTGAACCTAGATTAAGACTTCTGAATTTTGTATGAAACTCTAGATCCTGTGGTAACTTTCTTCCCAGTTACACCCTCACCACTATGTCCATCTCACATTAGATTATCACCAGAGAGAGCAGAAACACTATAAATGGTAAACACAAGTGTTGACCCAGTAGAAGCTAAGCAAGGTGTACATTATATTTGTTAATGTACTTGGAATTGCTTCTGTGAAAAATTTCAAATAATGGTTTTAAAAAGAACCTTTTGCATCAGACAGAATTTGTATTACAGATTCAGCATTGCTATAGTTTCTGGGTTTATTGATCTAATTTTTTCCTTAACCAGAACAAATAGCAAGTTTAGAGAAACACAAATATATATACACAAAGTTTTATCAAAACTATAAATACATTATAGAAAGTTTACACAAGTAGTCATTCAGAGTATATTGTAGGTGCTTCATTTCTTTCTGGGCAACAGCTCCATTCATCATTACCATTTTATGTGCCTTCACCTATGAGCTATTGAACTGAAGTTTTATTTGAAGGAGAGCTTAGAATTAGTAAGTTTCTCACTTAAAATTGGTATTTTATGGTCTTTTATTTCTGATTATTTTTCAATTTAAAATAGTTTTTGTTAGATATTTAGTACATAGGTTCTGTAACAAAGACAGCCATTTTGAAAAAATTGCAATTAAATTGAGTAGAAAGTATATCATATAAAAATATTTTTGTAAAGTGTTTGGAAGGAGAGAATTTTTAGCATTAAAAAAGTTGGCATCTACATGTATAAGTAGTAACGAAACATTTTACGTTTTGACTATAAATAGTTAGGATTTCACTGAAAATAGCTTATAGAGTTGCCTTCACAAGGGTGTATTTTAAGTTCCTCTGTGAAAAGATTTGTTGTAGGTATGTAAAAAATTGTCTTTTAAGGTGCTACCTGTCCTGTATGTTTTATTTATGAATCATACTCTTTGGTTCCTCATTATAAGTGGACCTTCCGTGGCTCTTGCTTTTTGAACAAGTTGATATAAACATGAACTGTTCATTAATAGATATATCATTCTGATTTTTTTAAATATCAGGCCAGTGATTCTCAGTGAACAGTTAGTAGTTCTTTCAAAGTGGTAGAGGTATAGCTATTTTATTGTGATAATACTGTTGGAATTACTTAGTTTTCATTAGCTAATGTTTTCTACCAGCTTGTTTCTCTGTCCTTTCCCCCTAATTTTAAATCCAGGACAGAAAGTAAAAATGAGTGACCCTATATAAAATCTGTATATCAGATGACAAATACTTTATTCATTATGGTGGGGATCAACAAACCATGATGCCTCATAGGCCCAATCTGGCCCACAACTAGATTTTTTGTTAATTGTTTTATTGGAACACAACTACACATATACTAGTAATCTATGGTGGCTTTTATACTATAATGGAAAAGATGAATAGTTGATATGGCAATACTATGGTCTATCAAGCCTAAAATATTCTATTGCCCTTTACAGAAAATGTTTGCTGATCCCTGAATTATTAGGTGAACAAAGAAGATAAAACTGAATTTAATGTATGGGTCATAATTACCATTTAAGGTTTCTTCCTCCCTTATTTTATATGCAGTGAGGCAAATCTACTCAGTATAGATGAAGATGAGGATTCTGATACCTCAGAAGGAAAAAAGGCAAGTGTTGTTTTTTTAATTTAAAAATTATTTTTAGGTTATATACTAAAAATGAATATTTCAAAAGAAGATGTTAACATCTTAAATTAAGTCCCAACCTCTCTCTTTCCTATCCCAGAGGCAAATGATGTTCCCAGTTTCTTGTTTTTCCTATCAGTATTTATGTGTTAAACCAAAATATATATTCTCATCTCACCTCCTTACATTTACATAATTGGTAGTATCCTATACACACATTTCCTAATCTTCTAAAAATGAATATGTCTGAAGACCATCCATGAAAGTTTATTAAAAGTATCTCCATTCTTTTCAATGTACCATTTCATTTCATGTTGTACTGTTATTATTCATTACCACCACATTTATGGTGTTTTCTACCCCCTGCACCCTCCGCCCCAAATAATTTTGAGTAAATTAGTCTTCTGTATGAGTAATTTTGCCCACACACAAGTATATCTGTAGGATGAATATAGGAGAGCTGCTGTATCATGTTCACATTAGATATATTTCTAATTTTCTTATACCTGATTTACACTTACTTTATCAGCAATGTCTGAGAATGCCCATTTCCTCAAACTTTTTTTTTTTAAATATATTTTATTGATTTTTTACAGAGAGGAAGGGAGAGAGCGAGCTAGAAACATCTATGAGAGAGAAACATCGACCAGTTGCCTCTTGCACACCCCCTACCGGGGATGTGCCCGCAACCAATGTACATGTCCTTGCCCGGAATTGAACCTGGGACCTTTTAGTCCACAGACCGACACTCTACCACTGAGCCAAACCGGCTTCGGCCATTTCCTCAAACTTTTGTTACACTGTTATCAACCTTTTGAGTTTTGCCAGTGAAAAATAGTATCTTATTTCCTTCTTCATGAATGAGGTTGAAAATATTTCATATATGTAGTCCATTTATTTTTCTGGATAACTGTCAGTTAATATCCTTTGTCCATTTTTCTATTTGTTCTTTAGAGTATTATTGATTCATAGGAATCCTATTTATATTGAGTCTGAGATCCACATTTTGACATCTGAAATCTGTCTAGGTGCATATTATAATTTCATGACATGATTTAATTTAAAAAATGTCTGCATATTAGTACATACAATAATTATACATCTTAGAAGGTCTTAGGTTTGATGAAATACTGTTGTTGTTGTTGTTTTAAATACTGGCTCGTTGCTTTGATATTATTTGCTAATATTTTAAACCAATTTTTTTTTCTTTTGTCTTTGCTATTCATGGTTATTGCCTTGGAGAAAATGTATTTTCTTATGTTGTTAAATATGTGTCTTGGGTTTAGTGTCATAGTTCCTAATGATGATAACTTAATTACTTATTTGCTTTACCATTTCGTACGTTAAATAATTTCACAATACCAATGTATAATAAAAGCATAATATGCTAATTAGACTGATGTCCTTCTGGATGTTTTTCTGTCCAGAAGGACAAAGCCAGGGCTATGAGGAAAGTCTGGACCCCGGGTGCCAGTGGGAAGGCGGTGCCAGCAGCCTGGGGAAGGAAGGCCTATGTGTGCAGGAATTTCGTGCATTGGGCTTCTAATTAAAATATAATTAATAAAATGATTTAAATTTTCTTTATCCTATTTCTTTCCTTGTTGTTTGGTGGCACCACCAGGTATATTCCACTAGGAATGTATATTTAAATTACTGTGTTAAAATTATTTATTCCTGGTTGGTAATTCCATCAGCTAGATGAGAGCAAAGTTAAAAATTTTTGTTTTGTTCTTTCTTTCTTTCCTTCTTTATTTTTAATGCACCAATAAACTTCGCAAGAAGTCTATTTTTTTAATAAATCTTTATTGCTCAGACTATTACAATTGTTTCTCCTTTTCCACCCCCCATAGCTCCCTTCCACCCGGTTCCCACCCCACCCTCTGCCCTTACCTCCTCCCTCTCACTCTCTCCCCCCATTGTCCTCATCCATAGGTGTACGATTTTAATCCAGTCTCTTCCTGCACCCCCCACATCCCTTTCCCCCGATAATTATCAATCCACTCCCTTTCTTTGCCCCTGAACTATTATATTCACCAGTTTATTCTGTTGTCAGATTTTTAATTCTCTTGATTTTTAGATTCACTTGTTGATGTATATGTATTTGTTGTTCATAATTTTTATCTTTTTTTCTTCTTCCTCTTCTTAAAGAATACCTTTCAGCATTTCATATAATACTCGTTTGGTGGTGATGAACTCCTTTAGCTTTTTCTTATCTGTGAAGCTCTTTATATGCCCTTCAATTCTGAATGATAACTTTGCTGGGTACAGTAATCTTGGTTGTAGGTCCTCGCTATTCATCACTTTGGATATTTCTTGCCACTCCCATTTGGCCTGCATGGTTTCTGTTGAGAAATCAGCTGATAGTCGTATGGGTGCTCCCTTATAGGTAACTAACTGTTTTTCTCTTGCTGCTTATAAGATTCTCTGTCTTTTGCTCTTGGCATTTTAATTATGATGTGTCTTGGTGTGGTCCTCTTTTGATTCCTTTTGTTTGGGGTACTGTGCACTTCCTGTACTTGTAAGTTTATTTCTTTCACCTGGTAGGGGAAGTTTTTGATCATTCTTTCTTCAAATAGGTTTTCAGTGTCTTGCTCTGTCTTTTCTTCTGGCACTCCCATAATTCTGATGTTAGTACACTTGAAGTTGTCCCAGAGGCTTCTTACACTATCTTCAACTTCCTGGATTCTCTTCCTGCTTCTCCGGAAGAGTGTCCTTTGCCTCTTTGTATTCCAAATCTTTGACTTGACTCGTGTTCCTCCAGTCTGTTGTTGGATCCCTGTATAACATAATTAAATTTATTGGCCTTTTCTAGGAAATTCTTGAAAAACCTTATAACTGTGGTTTTGAACTCTATATTTAGTCTTTTATTCTCCTCCATCTCTTTTGTTTGAGATCTATTTTCTTGTCTCGGCATTTTTGCTGCTTCCCAGAGTTGGTAGGATCGCTTTGTGTGTTTGGTGTCCCAGTGGGTCAGCCTCCCCAGTTACCTGAGGTAGATACTCTTGGTGCTCCCCTTTGTGCACTGCGTGAACAGCCTTGTTATAGTTAAGTCTTTTTTTTTTTTTTTTTATAAAATATATTTTATTGATTTTTTTATATCAAAGAGAGGGAGAGACAGAGTCAGAAACATCGATGAAAGAGAACCATCGATCAGCTGCCTCCTGCACACCCCACACTGGGCATGTGCCCGCAACCAAGATGTATGCCCTTGACGGAATCGAAGCTGGGAGCCTTCAGTCTGCAGGCCCGACTCTCTATCCACTGAGCCAAGCTGCTTTCGGCTGTAGTTAAATCTTGATTGTTGTTGGTATCCCTGGGAGGAATTGACCTTCAGGCCAATTGGATGTGAGTATCAGCTGTGTTTACTCTGGGATACCTTCTGTATTGGAGACAGTCTTATAGGATCAGATTTGGAAAATTGCAAAAGTCTTTGTGCTCAGCTTGGATGGGGCAGAGTCTCAGGGCTGAGCTGACAGTCTTGACTTCCCGTCAGCCTGCCCTTGTGCGCTCGACTAAGTTTCCGCCTGACCTCTGCCTTTCGAGGCTCCCCTGAGTTTCCACCTAACGGTCCAGATTCCCCGTACAAGAGTGTGGGTGCCCCAGGGGCTCACTCAGAATTGGGTTGGGTCTCCGTAATCTGATTTATACATAATTTATCCTTAATATATGTGAATTCCTGTTTCCTGTAACCTTGTAGAGAATGTGGTCAAACTTAAGTTTTTAGACATTCTGGCATAGCACCCTCTTACGTATTTCCCATACTTAACAGTTGAATAGATTTTAGGAACATTTAAATTTACTTTCTCCATCCTTGTAGAGGTTTTTGTCCAAAACAATTGTCATGATTAGGGAATTTACAGAATTTGAAGTTTTTTTCTTACTACTCTAAAGTGTTCAATCACTGACTTCTATGACATTGGTCTTTGATCTTTTATTGCTTGAGATTCCCTAAAGCCAGTGGTTCTCAACCTTTCTAATGTCACAACCCACAAGTTGAGAACCGCTCCTGTAGAGCCTAAGACCATCATACGACACAGATATTTACATTGCGATTCATAAACAGTAGCACAATTATTATGAAGTAGCAACAAAAATAATTTTATGGTTGGGGTTCACCATAACATGAACTGTATTAAAGGGTTGAAGCATTAGAAAGGTTGAGAACCACTGCCTTAAGCTTTTAATTAAGTATATGTCTTATTACATATTTTTTAAGTACATAAATTTTGACTTTTTTTTTTAAACCTGTTTGACACTTATATGTATCCAGTGATATCTAAAGATAATTATGATTTCATACTCAGCAGCATCTATTTTAAAAAAGTTTTACAAGTATAATACATCCTCTTTAAGTTGAAAATATTATATTGTGCCCTTTTTCTTAAATTTATATTTTCTTTCAGTTTCTCACAGGATTTTGACTTTACATATCTATTTTAACTTCATGTGAGGTATTTTTATGGGATGGAAAGATTTTAATTTATTCTATATCTTACCTAATAATAGACAAACATGTAAATTGACTGTACCTTCACTAAGCCTGTAGCCAATCAGTGACTATGCAAATTAACCCAAAAAAGATGGCGATTAATTTGCATACGTAGGTTCCGAGGGTCTGTGTCCCAGGAACATCCTGGCATTCAGGTCACTCTGTGAGGTAAGGCCTGAGGCAGGAGCGGACCCCCTACCTTCGATCGCAGGGAGCTGGGGGCCACTCCGGCACCAGGCCGAAAGCCTCGGTTTTGGCCTGGTGCAAGAGCAGACCCCCTGTGATTAATTGCAGGGAGCTGGGGGTCTGCTCCTGCCCAAGAGGCTTTTGGCCTGGGCAGGGGCTGTGCCAGTGATCAGAGGGAGCTGGAGGGGCCCTCGGTGTGAACTATAGAGGAGGCACCTTTTCTGACTGCACATTGGCTAGGCTTCCTATATGCCACTGGAAATATTCTTAATAACTTGGGTAATAAGAATTCGAAAAGGTTATCTAG